GAAGATATAAACCACGCACACACACACACACACACACACACACACACACACACAGAGACTCATCATAGAGTCTGACTTCATCCTCTGTGAGTCACAGCAGCACAGAGAGCCACTGAAGAGGATGTGACAAAAACAATCACAGGCCTTACTAGTCCAGATTATTAGTTTAGGGTTATTAAAATGCAGTTAGAATGACCGTAAAATTCAATAAATGAGAGCATAAATGCCCTGAATGGGTTTTTGTCTTATATTTCTATATGATATACTACATATTTAGCAATATCACATGAGCAAGAGTGCTGAGCATCAGAACCACTGCAAATGTGATATTGTGAGTTACATTTTAAGCACAATATTGTCTGTTTTTGCTCAATTTTGCAAATGAAACACACAGCAGCGTTTATTTCATGAATGAATCTGTGTTTCTGAACGAATCAGTTGAATGAATGATTCAATGACTCACTCATTAAGACAGCGACTTACTGCCACTCACTGGAGCATTTAGTTTCTAATTAAAAGTATAATTTCATTTTTAAATATAATTTCATATCAAATATACAACATTTTATTTTTAATACATTAATATCAGCATTATTTATGCAACTGTAATTGCAGTGTAAATGCATTCATGGCATCTCTGAGCTGCATTAATCAGTCTGTGTAAATACATGTAAAAGCCACTTTAGATGCAACTTCTGTGTCTGCAGTGCAAAGATGGATTTTAATGTGATTTGATTTGAACAGCCCAATAGTGTCTTATTATTCTAACCGATTAAATGTATTGGACATAAATGGTGCATACATTTAATTGGAAAACTGCTCTTATAAAGGTAAACTAGAAAAATATAAATCCACACACTACTACGCAAGTTTGCATCATCACAAAAATAATTAAACGAGCAAAGTTTTGGTGAATCAAGGCTGATAAAACATCCAAAGTGCAGGCAAATTTGTTTTTATGAAGGTAAACCTTCCACTGGAAATCAGTTCAAAGTGACAAATATCATCCCTTAATGTAGAAGTCAGCTGATCACGACAGGCCGGAACACACACACACGCACACTCACACACACACACACACACACAGGTTTATTCCTCCATTGTCTCTCTCTTGCCTCTTTTCTGTTCATAATAGTGCACTGCACCACTGTAATAGTGACACATAGATCTCAATCCAGCAGATATGAATAGCCACATAATACCGTTTTCACAAAATGCACTGGTGAAATGATTTGACCTCAATTACCTTTTCAAATGATTTTCTGTATTACATGCATTCTTATGTATTTCTGTATTCAATCTAAAATGTATTTGATTCTGTATTTATTTATTCTTTCTAAATGTATTGTTTTATTTGAATATTTATGCAAGTATTTTTATTTTCATGTTGATGTGTTTCTGTGAGAGTGTTTTGTCAAACTACACATTATGAGACTAATGGAGCTGAACAGACCACACCCTCAATCATCTAAGAAATACAGAAACAGATATTAAAAATTAATGAGATATTTATAAAAATAAATATATTCTGGAATAAATTTAGCACAAATTTGCAGGTTGTGTCATGCACACACACAGATACATATGAGTAAACAATAAGAGAGAGGTTATTATTTAGTTTTTCTGCATGTGAGAGAGACAGAGTGAGTGTGTGTGTGTGTGTGTGTGTGTGTGTGAGGCTGTGCTGGGAACAGTGAGGTGTAAATAATGTGTGTGTGTGTGTGTGTGAGGCAGAGACACAGACAGGCTGGCACCAGTCGTCTCCATGCAGACGGTTGCCTGGATACCGGCCTAATCGAGGGGCCCCTGGAGGATTGGGCCCCGTCCCCATACACACACATTATTTCCTCACCTGCGCGTCTTCAGCTCTCCTGCTGTTTAGGGCTGGGTATTGATTCAGATGTCCTGATTCGATTCGATTTCGATTTTTTGATTACATTCAGTGAATATAGTTTTAATACAAATGCTATTGATATTTCTAAAAAATGAACAGTAAACATCAGTTTACAAATGGTGAATTAATAATAAGAAATTAAGCCACATGCCTCTATTTTAAACCTATACTTTTTTTGGTATAGGGTCCTTTATTAAACAATAATAGGGCCCTATAAAATGTTCTTAATTTTTCTGGTAATCAGATGAAGGCATAAAACATTAATTTAATTGATCCTAATCAAATGAAAATTAAACCCTTTTATTTTTTGGCAAACAAAGTGCTGCACAAAAGAGGTTTACTGTTAAAATGAAAAAGAAGTAACATCGCGCAAGGTAAATAAGAGTGACATCTAGTGGAGAAGACTAATGATAAGATTCACGTTAATCAGATCTTGTTTTAAATGTGTGCTGAAATAAATCCCGGAAAAGATCGATTTGCGGCTTTTGAGAATCGATATCGAATCAACGTCATTTAAAAAAACGATTAATCGAAAAATCGATTTTTTTTTGCCCAGCCCTACTGCTGTTATTGTGTCATATTTCTGCTCTCTGATTTCTGCGTCTGTGATGCAGTGTTTCCGCTCTCCATGCGCACAGTTTCAGGTTTGATTCCTCTCTTTCTCATTTCCTTTCAGTGTGTCGCTCCTGTTTCCTTCCTCTCTGTCTGCTTCATCTGTCAGTGTGTGTTGTGCATATGCTCATGCTGTCAGCGCCGTGTGCTGTGTGTGTTATTCCGTCTCACGCTGCTCTCTGCTGGCCTGCACATAAACACTTTCTATATTTCTCGTTTGCACATAAATCCTAGTTAAACTATCACTCCCAGCTCTACAGATGAGTGGTTAATGATTGTTACTCACCGTTATTTCAACCCCATGACATTTCTCTTTTAAAACTCACAACAACCTGTCCACCATGTTATAGTAAAATCATTTTGGGGCTCAATGTTACAGGGTTGAAGAATATAGTTTACATTCAATATACTAGCGTTTGAGTTCTGTAAGATTTTTTTAATGAAGTCTCTTCTGCTCATCAAGGCTGCATTTATTTGATCAAAATACTGTAAAAACAGTGTAATATTAGAATTTAAAATAGCTGTTTTCTTTGTGAATCTATTGTAAAATATAATGTTTTCTTGTGATCTGCAGCTGTATTTTCAGTCTTCAGTGTCACATGATCTTCAGAAATCATTCTAATATGCTGATTTGCTGCTCAAGAAACATTTCTGATTATTATCAATGTTGAAAACCGTTGTGCTGCACAATATTTTTGTGGAAACTGTGATACATTTTATTTTTCAGGATTCACAGATGAATAGAAAGTTCAAAAGAACAGCATTTATTTGAAATAGAAATAAATGTCTTTACTGTCACTTTTGATCAATTGAATGCATTCTTGACGAATAAAACATTAATTTCAGTAATAAATTAAGTTATTAAAGCATTCATTTAAATAAATGTCGTTACTCCACATAAATTCTCTCACACTATTTTATCTTCTCTTTTAAATCTCTTGCTCTCTCTCAAACTCATCCTGATGTTGTTCCTTCCTAAAACAAATGTCTATAAACATTTTCCTCTGGGGTCCTGTGGGAGGTCGACCATCCTGTTACACGTCTCTCTCTCTCTCTCTCTCTCTGTCTCTCTCTCTCTCTCTCTCTCTCTCTCTCTCTCTGTGTGTGTTATTCAGCTCCTCTCTTTAGCTCCAGATAAATGCACACACACCAGAAAAAAATCCAAGTGTTCACTAGGTTTAAACACAGATCAGGAAAAACACTTCCCGAAGCATACATGACATGAGTCTGAGATATTGTACATCATCCATCCTCCAGTATAAGCAGTAAAAACCATCTTCTAATGTGACACAGATCTTAAAAAGAAATAAGCCGGAGAGTTACAGATGACAACAGAATAAAAGTGCAATCAGAGGAACAGACAGCGACACAGCTCTGATTAAAAATGAATAGATCTGGTCTTGCATAGAGTCCTTAAAATCTCATCAATGCCATTATGCAGTAAACATCTCTTACAACCTGGGACTATATCCACAATATACCATGAGCTCAGGCATCTTTAATGACTTTATCTTTAATGGCTTTAATGACTGATGCAAGTGATTTACTGACCACAGTGATGTGGAGTGTGTGTGTGTGTGTGTGTGTGTGTGTGTGTGTGTTTGATGTGTTATTGAATTAAGTGGGGCGCTGCTCTTGAGGTTATGAGACGTAACGCACGCACGCACGCACACACACACACACACACACACACACACACACACACACACACACACACACCAGCTCTACACACACACTCAGTCACCTGAACATGTTCATACATCCTCACGGTAAAGCACTGACACACTGACTCATGACGTGTAAAACCAGCACATCTCACAATCATGCCATGATTTCATCTATAGGAAAATGAGATTTCTGTGGCCTTTTCTAAGAAACATCTAAGCAAGAGCCTTCAGCAAAAGATCAGATTCTAGAGAAAGATCTTGTTTGCCGTTTCCTTCCCCCCTGTGATGGTCTTCCTCATCTGATCCTACCTGATAGGAGCAGCTGTCCTGGTGCACCATCTCTCACTGCATCCTCTAGATCCGCAGGAGAAACACAGGAGAGTCCCACCCGACACACGTCTGTATCCACAGCCTCTGCACACGGAGAGGGAGCGATACGAGGGAACCGAGGGTGGGGCTCCGGGAGGGCTTACTCAGCGCCGGCCAATCAGAGCGCAGCACACGTGGATGGGGGCGGGGCCAGAGACCAGAGAGAGGGAGGAGTGACCTTTCAGAGTGGAGCGGGGGAGGAGATGTCCCACGGATCGAGAGAGGGAGGAGGGATGAAAGGAAAGAGTGAAGAAAAGCAGTGGGAGGAGAAGCGCCGCAAAGAAAAGAGGCTTTCTGTGGCACATTCCTGCAGCTAAAGAATTCCTGAGACAGAGCACTGCTATTCACACTCTGCTCTGTCAACTCCTCACACATTCCTCACTGCACAGACAAACAAGTTTACACACACACACACACACACACACTCACACACACACACACACACACTCACACTTACTCACTCACATACACACACACTTACTCACTCACATACACACACACACACACACAAACACACACACACACACAAAGATGTCTATAAGCAAATGTTTAACTCGATTCTACAAAACAGGTGTCATTTGGGTCCTTCATTTGCATATGTGTAAAACAATAACTTTAACAGTGAGCAGCTGATGGCAACTGTTACTATGTGTCAACACACACTTCTCTAAACACAATCCAGCAACTTCAGTTTGTTTGTAAATGATTTGTCTTTCTGCATGAGGACGCTGATTTGGCAAACACAAAACATGAAAACCAATTCTTTCGATTTTTTTTTTAGATAATAGATTTATTTTTATTTTTTACTTTCTAAGATAGTAATGTTTTACCCTAAATGTATACTTTTGCATAATTTTAAGAGTTGCCGAAATTATACACTTTAAAATATATACAGTACTTATGTGTGAAGTGAATTTAATGTTTTTTTTAGACTTGATTGCATGTTAACTGCAATCAAACAAACATGTATAATAGTTTAAATTTATATTAAATGCAATTATTTGCTAAATGTTATTACAGTTTTTTCAAAATGCTAACACAGTTTTTGAAACTATGGCTCCATTTCTCAAAACTCTACACACAAAACACACACACAACATACAAAACGTCACACACATATTTGAAAACTGTTTTAACTCTTCTAAAAATTGTATTTTTGCATAGTAACTCTACACACAAACATAAAATAATTGGCCACATACACGCCAAACTACACACAGATATGAAAAATGTAAAAGTGGATTTTAGTGGATTGTTAAAAAATAATATTTTGAGAATAAAGTCAAAATTAAGAGAATAAGGTCAAAATTACGAGAATAAAGTCAAAATATTTTGAGACAAAAAGTCAGAATTATGAGAATTCATTTGTAGCAATTACGAGATTAAAGTTATAATATTTTGAGAGCATATTCTATAGCCTACTGCACATGCAAATAGCTCGGATTGGAAGAAACTCCAAAGTCTCAGCTTTCAAATTAAAAAAATAAATAAAAAATTCAACAAAAAATACTGAGTTGTTCTCAAATTATCTGCTTTTTTATTCGCAAAACTCTGGACTTTTGGTAGTACCTAGGATAGCAAAGTCCACTAAAGGAGGTAGAGCTTTTTCTCATTTGGCTCCCAAACTCTGGAATAGCCTTCCTGATAACGTTCGGGGTTCAGACACACTCTCTCCGTTTAAATCTAGATTAAAGACACATCTCTTTGGCCAAGCATTCAAATAATGCATATCATAAGCTTGTACTGCAGTTATATCTGATCAAATGCACATTATTATTCTTTAGTTTGGGTTAAACAAATCAATTTTGCTTGGTTCGAACAGCAGCTACGCTAATTATTTCTCTATTTGTTTCTCTGTTTTTGCCACAGGAT